AAATTCCATGACATTGTTGCAAATTAAACTATCAGCTCCTACATCTCCCTTTACGATGCGATTCGTTTGCCTACACTGATGCAATGGCCTTAAAATGCTTTTGGGATCGGCATGAGTCGAACGGATTAATAACAGATAATTTAAATAGGGTTTGCTGACAAAGAATTTTGCCGAATCATAGATGAGATTGAGATAAAAGAGCTACTAAATTTTAAGTTGGATTGATTGTAACTTTGAGCGATTAAATAAAGTTCTCATCATGCGCGGCCACGAAATCGTCATCTAGGCTGCAAGATAATTATGAGATGATCGTATTGTGCTTTACGACACTAAATAGCTTAGATTATTTCCATTTACATAGACCAAATGAAAGCTAACTTTTGGACTAGTCAGTATTTCATAAAAAATTAAATGCAGTGGCAGTTACATTACTCATCTTCACTGATAATTTATTTACTGATTATACGTACTTGCTATCACAGTTACTTTTAGCGTCTATCCTTAACTTTTACTCTTCTGCAACTTATATATGTTCAAATTTGATTTGTCCATATATATATATATATAGGATTAGTTTATGGAGTTTTATTATTATCAGATTTTATTTGTACATAGCTTTTGGCAGATTATCATGCAGTTGCCATCTCCCCCGCTTTGCAACACTCGGGTGGCGCTGCTCTCTTTGCTGTAATGCGCGGCCGTGCTAGCGAGGGTCTTGATCTAGCTGATCATGCAGGTCGTGGTGTAGCTGTGATTGGCTTGCCTTACCCACCGTTTCAGGAACCCCGAGTCCGACTCAAAATGGCCTACCTAGACGAGCAGCGTGCCACCCCCGGCCAAAATCACATAAACACTGGTCGGCAGTGGTATAAATCACAAGCGTGGCGGACCGTTAACCAGGCCGTGGGAAGGTGTGCGAATCTACTTAAAACTTTTGTATGCATTTTTGGATCAAGGGTTATTTATGTAGTATTGAGCACCTTTGGAGCTTGCAGTAAATATTAGCTTTTAGGTAAATCAGTTATAGTGTAGATTTCCAGTCCTAGTTTGCATCATGAGAATGATTTTTATTTTACATTTTTATCTTTTTGTATACTCTAACTACATCGTTACAGGTTTTCCTATTCTCTCCTATTCCGTAATGGCTGGCTTCTGCGGATGTTGTCGAGAGAATTTCAGATTTATCTTTAATATAATTTTCGCGAACATTTTCTTACTTGGAAGTTGTTTGGCCTTGTTTTCGTAATCTGGTCATATTGGCAGGAAGACCTAGAGCAACGCACCTTGTCCGGAGTCCATAGTATT